ACGAGCTTTTAATATGAATCGTATTATATATTTATTTTATTGAATTAAATATATAAAACCTTATTTAAACTTATGCGTTATACTCCATATTTTTAAATATAACACTTTTTAGTCCTTACTTTTTTTAGAAATAAATATACACAATTTTGGTTATTGTAAACACAACATTTTTATACGCAGCATATTATCTTTATAGTTTAACAAACAATGTTATTAATACTGTCATCAATCTAATGAGAAACTATAGCATATTATATTATGGAGTCATTTAAATTCCATAAACATTTTTTCATTGTATATCATCATCATCATCATCATCATCATTACAGGCCTTCACAAGTCCACTGCTGAACATAGGCCTCCCCCAAGGAATGCCACAAAGCACGGTCCCGAGCCATTTGCATGTATCGACTTCCTGCATGTCTCACCAGGTCGTCACTCCATCTAGTGGGGTCGCCCTTCACTTTGATTACCGGTACGAGGCTGCCACTCGAGAACCTTTTTTCCCCATCGGTTGTCGGTTCTTCGAGCTATATGGCCGGCCCATTGCCACTTCAGCTTAACTCGGTAACTCTGGTTTTACTGCGAATCCTCATTTCGTGGTTTACAACTCAGAGAAACTTCGAGTATAGCCCACTATATAGCTCACTGAGCGTCATTGTAAATACAAACAGCAAACCAGCATTGGAAAAAAATTGCAATATGTGATACAAATACCAAAATATTAGTAAATTAAAGAAAATTGATAAGATATTGTAACGCTAAAACTCAGAAAACACACATCTTGTATGCCGTACACGTTCGCCCACCTTTTATTATTTTATTTCGGTAGCATATTATGAATGAAAAAGTTTATACGTTCATATTTCACGTATGTATGCGAAGTAGGCGCAGAGATTGCCGCCTTAGAGATGTCTTTTTATAGAGGTCGTTTTTTGAATTCTTAAACGATTCCTTTCGCAATTGTTAATAGAAGCTATACTAACAAACTTTAAAGAAAATGTGAAATAATTACGTAAGCTAAGTATAAACAATTTGTTAATGAATGTTTTGACAGAAAATTCACCTTTTTGTAAAAATTTATTTCGGACCTAACGTAACGTAATCCTCATGCGATGAAATTTTGCACAGATAATCTTAGTCGTATGAACAGTGGGTAGATTAACTTTCATTTGTTTAGCTTATGAACATTGTTGGAGCGGAGTCCCCTGAGCGAAGCAAAGCATGCGTAGCCTTCTTATTCCTAACTCCAATGTATTTTTATTCCTATCTCTGAAACTAATTGTCCGATTTTGATGACGCTTACCAGTGATAATCTACGTAGTATGTTTAGTAAGTGTAGTTACAGTGCGTAGATTCATTTCAATGTACATATTGGCTACATACCAGCCTACATACCCCTGAATCCGATGCATTTTTTATGAATATTTATATATATTTAATTCTATATAACTGTCCTTGACTCCAATACAATTTTAAGGGTTTCGTACCTCAAAAGGAAAAAACGGAACCTTTATAGGATCACTTTGTTGTCCATCTGCCTGTCTGTCAAGACCCTTTTTCTCAGGAACGACTGGAGGTATCAAGCTGAAATTTATATCAAATACTCAAGTCTACTGTCCCTTGGAGCTGTGAAAAAAAATCAAACTTCTAAGCCAACGCAATCAAAAGATACAGAAATTTATACCGCAAATTTTTGACATTCGCAAGGGAATCAAAACCTACAGGATACTTCCTTCAACTACTTAATGAAAATATTTTTAATAATTTTAAACTTATATACCTACGGATTTGTTCGGAACCCTCGGTGCGCGAGTCCGACTCGCACTTGGCCGGTTTTTTTATTACTATCTCCTCTGAAAAAAATTGTCCGATTTCGACAAAACCCACTACAGGTATTTTGCGTAGTGTTTGTAGCTCTTTTTATTGTTGGGGGTGAGCCCACTGAGCGAGGCGAAGCGGGCGTATCCTTCTCATCCAATACGTTCATTATTATTATATATATTAATCATATAATTTCTTCTAACCTAATCGCAGACTCAGATGCAAATTTTTATTGATATGTTCATAATTTTATAGTAAATTTCATGATCATAAATCAAAATATCTCCGCCCCACTTTTTCCACAACAGATATACCAAGTTTTACGATTATATGCTACAATAAAAATTATCCATTAAAAATAGATCTCAACCTAAATTTTACGTGGTTATTATTTTTATTTTTCGGGAATATATTATAAAGCTATTAACTTAGTAGTTTTATCAGCTTATTTACTCGTTAAAAAGACTCGAAAATATAAACTTGAGAATACTAAGCTCATAGTGATGTCAATTTCTTTACAAACTTTAAAATTATTATTTCTAGAGCCATAATACTATATAATATCACTGCTACATATTTTTTTTCAAAATCAGAGACCTCATTCTAACACAATGAATGGATTCGCTTGGAAACAAAAACTCTATCCTCTCATAAGCCTAAAATACTTACTTATACCAGTGAAAGGAAGCTATGGAACAAAAAAAAAGCTGTAAATGTGTAAATGTTAATTGTTACGATAAATCTGGCTAAGAAACGTAGTTTCGATGGCGAATACTTTCAAAAATGTAAGCAACAGAGACGTCAAAAGCTAATAATAATGCAAACATACGAATTTATAGTATAGCAAGTGTGAACTAGGACCCGCTTAAAGTAAAGTTACATTGTACTAATTATTTTTAATATATTATTAAATTTAATTGTAAGTGTTCGGTATACTTTTAGCAAAACTAAACATATCAATAAAAAAATTCCACTGGAGACTGTGATTAGATTAGAAGAAATTATATGATTAAAATATATAAATAGCAATAATGAATGTATTGGATAAGAAGGCTACGCCCACTTCGCCTCGCTCAGTGGGCTCACCTCCAACAATACCTATAGTGGTTATTGTCAAATTGTTTCAGAGGAGATAGGAATAGAAGATTGTATCGGAGTCAAGGAGAGTTATATAGAATTAAATACATATATATACTATAAATATTCATAAAAATGTATCGGATCAGGGGTATGAAGGCTAAGTTCGACTTGCTTCGCCCAGTAGGCGCTACCCCAACAATGTACACCAATATGTATGTACATTAAAATGAATCTACGCACTGTAACTACATTTACTATACTACGTAGATTATCTCTGCTAAGCTTCAGCAAAATCGGACAATTAGTTTCAGAAATAGCCACAAAAATACATTGAAGTCAGGGATAAGAAGGCTACGCTTGCTTTGCTTCGCTCAGGGGCTCCGCTCTAACAATGTACATGAGTTAAACAAATGAAAATTAATCTACGTACTGTTCATACGACTTAGATAATCTGTGCAAAATTTCATCGCACACCAATAAATAATTCGGATAAGAGGATTACGTTACGTTACGTTACGTTAGGTCCGACATAAGTTTTTACAAAAATGTGGAATTTTCTGTCAAAATATTCATTAACAAATTGTTTTTACTTAGCTTGTGTAATTACGTAAATACGTGAGGCTATTGAAATTAAAAAACATCCTTATTTCAATAAAGAGGGAGGCTGGGTACTACCATCTGCTTGGAATCCTGTAATTAATAAAATTGAAACTCAACCCAAGCATACCACTGCAAGACTTCAAGACACAGTAAGTTCATTCTGCGTAAGGTGAAGGTACTCCGGGTTAACTCTGACATCGGGGCCTCAATCAACTCTATCCCCCGTGACCATAGGTGCTGGAAAGCGCCCGAAACGTAAACTCGTAAAATTAATGAAATTAACAAAAAATAAGTTAATTAAACGCGATAAAATCCGTAAAAATAGTTTTATTCAATGTTTTATTAAAATTAATAAGATAGAGAATGGCAGAAACTTTGAATCTAATTCGGCTGAAAATTTATCTGGTGGGTACACAGTATCATATAATCAAAAAATTATAATACCTACTGTGACACACCAGTATCAAAGAGTATATAATCACTACGTTGTAACCAGTACAAATGTTCTAAGAGAAAGAGTTGTAAAATGGCTGAAATAAGCGGACCAGGTCATGAACGTTAATCAGAATTTGTATGTAGAAGGTTGAAAGCCAGTAATGGAACTTTGTATAGAAGATCCATTAATTTTGTTCGTAGCAACATGACCCAGCATTAAACCCTATCTCGCTAACACTAAACTTACATCAGAATATAATCGAAGCAAACGATGACTATTGATTTTTTATAACCTTCAAACAAAACCACCTTAGCCATAACGGGCAAAGAGTATTTCAAATTAATTGTTTTGTAAACAATATTTCAACGTTTAAAATACCGTCTGATTATAGATAGACCCGAAACTGAAGCACAAGTGACGACGCATATGCAGTATTTTGTTTAAAGTTAGTTGTAGGTATCTATGGCTACATAAGATCAGGTTAAAATCTTTAAGAGTAACTTAATACGTTTCTGATTAAATTTTCATTGGCATTCTTTTGGAGAGGTCTATACGGGGTAGCGATAAAGTTATCACATTAAATGAAAAGAGTTATCCTATATAACATTCTTTGAACATACACAATAAAAAATACATATAACAATTAACATTCTAGTCCCAATAGCCCTTTTTTCGTTTTTTGCCTAATTACTTATGAACGGGAAAGTGCAGGTAAATAATTACTTTTGTCGATGCCGCGTGAGCACTGCGTACCTGCCGCACCGTTGCCGCTTTTGCATGTCACTTCTGGTCAGTAAACTAATATTATCAAGGTGATTTATTTTGTGTCAATTTTTACGCTATTTATTTTGTTTGAATGATGATTTTTTTTATATTTCGTAGAATTGTTTATTTTATTATTTTAATCGACATATATGAACTTGTTTATACCGCTGTGTTATTTAATATGATAACCTAATCGCCACCAAGTATAATATACACGATGATATTATAATTAAAAACAAACGAATTATTTATTATAAATAATTTATTACATATCTAATTACTTTACCATAAAATATCACGCAACAACATTCGACCAAATCTTTTTAATCATATCGGCTCCCTTTTCACCTATCATAACAGCAGGAGCATTCATATGTCCACTAATTGTTCGGGGAAGAACGCTAACGTCTACAACTCTTAAACCTTCTACACCATACACTCTTAATTCTGGATCAACTACAGCGTCAGGATCATTAGGTGGACCCATTTTACAGGTGCCTACATGATGGTGAAGAGACACCATCATTGTTCTAATAGCACATTCCCAGTAATTATCCGATCCGGGAATATGGTTTGCGCAAGAGGGATATTGTGGTAAATACAAGTGGGCACCGTATTTTTTAAAAGGTTCAGACTCTCCTAATTTAATGATAAATTTAATAGCATCCTTAAGTGTTTCGATATCTTTTGGATCTGTGAAATATTTTCCGTATAATTTCGGAAGAGAAAGTGGATTGTTGTTTCGAAGTTCAAGGTAGCCTTTAGATTTTGGATGAAGCAAAATGGGTATAGCAGACCACGTATCACAACCATGAAGAGGGCTAAAAGCGGTTAAGTAAGTTTTGTCTGAAATTTTCCAACTCTTTCTGAAAGCACCACCTGAGTCTGAAGATATTGACCCTCCTAAGTTAAGTAGTTCTACGTCTGGCACTTGATCTCGATCTTCTGACAATGTAGTTTTTAAATATCCTACAGCTTCCACTAGGCCCGGTGTTGTCATAAGCCCATCTCCATATTGAATCCACTGCATGAGATTTGGTAATGTGGCTACCTTTGACTCTAGTAAGCTAGCGTTATTGGAATTTAATTTAAATACCACCCCCGGAAAAGCTATATGATCATAAAGAGTTTTTCCAACTCTCAAATCTGTAATCACTGGAATCCCTAATAATTGTAAATGCTCTCGAGGTCCTATACCGGATAGCATAAGTAATTGAGGGGAGGCTATGGGTCCAGCGGATAAAATTATCTCTCTACGGCATCGTACATTGTATTTAATGTGATTTTTAAGATATTCTACGGCGTATGCTCTTTTATGTTGTGGTTCTATAACAACTTTTGTTACCCTCGCTTCAGTAAGTATATGAAGATTCTTCCTTCTTTTATGCGGATGTAGAAATGCTTTAGCGGCGCTCAATCTATGGCCCTTGTTTTGAGTCGTTTGAACGTATCCAAAACCTAGATGATCTGGTGAATTATAATCAACAGTAGGTTTACCATGCAATCTTCCAGCCGCTAGAAAAGCCTCAACAAGGCCAGTCCTGAAAAAAAAAGAAGTCTTAATCCATTGCAGATTTTATTTCCAATTCCTTTCCTAATCTAACTTTCAATATTGGCGTTTTCAAGATTACGCCCATTCACATGCAAAACTTGTAAATATTTACACATACATAGTGTTGTGTGATATGTACTGAGTAAAAAATAGAAAATACACACAATTTTAACTCGCACAAGATTACAGCATTTTTTCCCCTTTTGTTATGTTTATAAGCTTTAAGTTTGTTATTTATTGCATAAAATCAATTTTTTATATCATTTTGTTATTTTTTTCAAATAGTAATTTACCTATAATTTTTCTTTCAACTTTTCACTGAGGTAAAAATATTTTAAGTTAATATATTTTTTATTGTCTTCGGTCAAATCCATTTTTCCCTTTTCCTGTCTGTTACTTATTCTTGTGATAAATTCAATTTTTATTATATAATCAGCTCCATTTAAGAACTTTAATTTGACATGCATTGTGTAAAAATTGTTCAAAAATTTAAAATATTTGTATAAGTGTGTTTGTGCAGTTAAAGAATTGAAAAATATTCTAGTAAAATGAATACATATTAATTAATATTAATGTTTCATTTAATTTTCTTTATGAGGCATCACGAAGTAGCACAGTCTACCTGATGTCAAGGGGATGCTGTGGCCCATAGACATCTACATTTACCCTCAATTAAGAATCAAAATACATAATATTGTCACCACTGAGTAATAAGATGGATTGTCTCGTTTTCAGTAAAAGGGTCTCCAGTTTTGTACACTCACCATACGAAACACAGCAATATTAAGCTGTTATTTTACGCTGGTATTCTGTGAGAGCGTGGTCCTTCCCCGGTCCATTTGTGATACAACCATAATATAGTTGCAGCATGGCTCTACCACGTATAAAGTTTTAAGTTTCAATTAAGATTAAATTTAAAAATAAACGATCGAATTTCAAGGGATATTCACTTACCTAAATGGAACATTTTCAACCGTGAGCTCACCATCACGTCCTCGATATGGAGCGTTTTTGTATTTTTTTAGTTCACATCTTTCTGATTTCTTATAGTAAGGTAAGATTTCCTCGTACGACCTGTAATAATTGAAGGCAAAGGTCTTTAGATGCATATTATTAATCTATTTAAAGTAATCATTCTAATGAAACAAGCTTTTCACGAAATATGGACATTCGATAATTTTATAAATTCCCATTCCATTAAAATGTTAGTTTTATTTTTAATAATATTCGCCAACGCGTACTTTACATCTGTACAACGCATTAAATAACTGCTCCATAACCGTATCAGAAATGAGTAGAGGGCTTATAAATTTTATTGATTTAAGTTATAAGTTAAAAACTTAATTTTGTAAATGACATAAATAAAGTGCTTTTATCGTGTATTAATTATTTTAGTAAAATAAAAGGTACAGCCTTGTTCGACATTATCATCCTACATAAAATAAAAATAGCACTTCTCTCTTTTACTGTTTTAACTTTACAACGGCAGAGTCGTAAATAATTTTGATTTAGTAGTGCCGTTCATCTTTTTCGATGTGATTTTCATGTGTGTGTATATATGTATAAAATAAACATAACTATAATTGTTTTAAATCCAGAAAAAATAATACTAAAATTGTAACGCCAACGAAGCTTTAAAAGTTTTTGCTTGTGCTAGAGTAATATTCGAAGGATTCGAACCCATGACTTTTACATTCTAAGCATCGCATCTGGTACCATTTGGCTAACAACGTATTACGACTATCGAAGGGGTTAAAAGTTGGTTAATGACTGTTTTTCCATTTTCTACGGATAATTTAAATTACGAATCAAGTGAACCGACTATAGTAGAGGCGCTTCTCCAGCTTTGAATTCATAATTTCTTATATTTACGCGAACACTACACATGTAAATAAAACTAGACTTTACGGATTTTATCGCGCATACTACCTTATATTCTCGATGTTTTGAGTACTTTACGGCACCCATCACAACATTCAGGTCACAAGGAGGACTCAGGTGTTCGGTGTCCCAATGTCATAGTTAAACACGGCTACCTTCAGATTAAAATGATTAATTTTTTGTCAGATTGACGCATTATGAACTTATAGTATATTGAAGTCTTGCATACGCTTCGGCTGGGATTTAATTTTATTTCTTATAGGATCGCGAGCAGAGGATAACAACCAGCCATTTTATCTATTGTAATTAGGATTTTTTTTTATATTTCAATAACCTCGCGATTTATTCTTGGAAGGAATCGGTGTTCTTTGCGAGGATTTGTGATCTTACAAATCTGATGTAGTGACGGAGGCGATCCTGTACGTGTTCACAGACCACAGACGTCGGGAATATAAATATAAGATAAATTAATAAACTTGATAAAATCCGTAAAATCTAATTTTATTTTAAATCAGCGTGTTATCGGGCTGGTAAAGAAGTGGAATTTTTTTCCATAAAGGAGTGTAGTGGTGACGTCAGAAAATTCATCACCCCACTTTTAATATTACCATTAAATTACACGAGGGGATATTTGCCATAGTAGTCACGATTAGCAAGCGGGTTAGGAACAACGGGTTTTTTTTAAATTCAGTTGTTATCAATTAGAATGATGCTGTTGACCATATTCGAGTTCATTCTCCCTATTCGATCTCCTTTTCCCTTCTTCTGAAACCCACTGATAGTTGATATGGGGTGGCATATAGTCCTACACCGCCACTACACGGATCATCTCGCATATTATCCGATAATAAATTACCCAGATAAGGCGTCAAAGGTACGCGATCTGGTTCTGGGATAGCTGATCGCCCTCCTACGTGTAACAAGTCATTCTCTTAAATCTAGCTCTCGTCCGGCTGTGATAAATTTTCAGCTGTATGAAGAAGAAAGTTTTAGATTATAAGAGTGAATAAATTATCCGTATACGTTAAAATAAAGTTAGATAGAGAGAGCAGCATTATAATTAACAAAATGAACTAAATACGCTGCAGCTAGAGTTACAATTCCTCATTTTAAAATTACAACGCACTGCCAGCTTGATCGATCCATTAAAAGGGTCTCCGGTTCTCTACACTCACCAAACGAAACACAGTAGCATAAGTTAAGCTGCAATTTTACGCTGGTATTCTGTGATAGAGTGTGTATGTGGTATTCTGTGTGTGCACTACCCCGGCCGAGCTGACCCATTCATGTTACAATCATAATGTAGCTGCAGCGTAGCTCTACCACGTAAAAAATATTAGCGCGGCCCGTCTATAAAGTATCACCAGTGCTGCCATGCGCATAGCAATGAATGTTATTGGTTTGCAACATATCATTGATATACACGCAGCCTTGTGGAACACCAGCATTAATAGGCTTATAATTGGAGCATGAACTTATCTACACTGATGTTCCAATCTGCAAGAAAACTGGTAATCCAATTGCATGTTTTCTGGGTAAACCCATATGGACTTTCAAAAGAAGCGCTTTGTGCCAAACCCGATCGAAGGCCTTCGCAATGTCCAACTGCCTTTAGCCAATGAGTCAAGTAAGCCAGAGGACCACCACTGGAGCGACACCGACGAAATTGGTACTGGCGGTCACTAATCAGCTGGTGACCCTCAGATTACCTCATGAACTGACAGTTTATAATGATTTCCATTATTTTGGAGAACAAGGAGGTGATGGTAATAGGCCTGTAGCGGTCGCCTTTATTAGGGTTCGGGTGCACCAAAGCCGTCTTCCATTAGTTCGGAACTACGTCTAGGTAGTAGGAGTAGAAAAGGGGCGTTAAAACCGGTGTCGACTCCTTCATATCTAAAATACAATAAGGGAGACTACATCAAGCCAACGCGACTTGTTGACGTCCAGGGAGAGGAGTGCTTTACGCACCAAGCGCTGTGTAAACAGAACATCCGCCAAGGAGCATTCACACTGCAGGAAGGTCAGCGGTGTTTTCCTAATTTATCAAGAGACGAGAGAGAGATTGAACACAGAGAGAGCCTAACACATCGGCTTTCTTCTTTGCGGCATGGGCCAGTGAGTCATCCCCAAAGATGGGAGATATGGCTGACAGAAGTTCACTTGGACTGCCCAGGCAAGAGACCGGAGGCGAACTAGTTTCTTGCCAATTCTGCCTTGTTGGTGGCTGCTGAAGGCTGAATTATATTTATTTTTAAGAGGGCTGGTGTTTGTCTCACCACGTTTGCTGGTGTAAGACGTTGATGCGTCAGCCCGGGCTCGATAGTACTCCTGCTTATGGCTTGATCCAATTTTACAGGAGTTACCCAACCATGGCTGGGATCTGTCTCCGATAGGCAATATAAATTTCTATTCCCTGAAGTACCACATTAACCACAGAATCAGGAACAACGTTGGGGTCATCCGGCAAGAAGCAAACCCACTCACAATGGAGTGCAAGAAAAGAGCGCATCCTGTCTTAATCGGCCAACCTATAATACCAACGTGGAAACATGCAGAACACAACCGCGATGGGAGCGCGATGGGCACCACACTCCGGAACAGACAATGGTCCGAAGAGCCAAGAGGGGTCATCGACACAGATCTGATATCCGTCGGGTGAGAATTAAGCAGAAGGTCCAACAGGGAGGGTTGCATGATCCTCGACATCTTTGATCCGCGTATTTCATTATTAATTTCATTTATAATTTCAAATGGAATTTAAATTATAAAAATATTTATGAAAATAGAATTGTTAACCAGTTTTCTATTAAAGTTAAAAATCATATAAAAATTTGGTTTTTAGAGGGGAATTATCAAACTGTTTTATTTTTACAAGGGTTGTATATAATTATGTGTAGTAGTAACTATCATATTTCAAACACTATTACATTTGCACAAGACATGACAAGGATATGACGTCTATCAAGCTCCTGAAATGCAGGGTGGAAATTTGAGAAAGGACAACAAGGGCAGCTACCTGAATTATAGTCTCTTCAAAAAAAAAACGTTATAAAAAGCTTAGACGTAGAATTATTGAAGACTCTTAAGACGACTTAAGACTTACATTTAAAATCCATTAACAAAATGGATTTTAAATGTAAGTACACTAAGCAATTAAAATTATGCGTTTATATAAGACTTTAAATGTCTTGAATGAAAATGAACGCTAATTTTACAAAAAGTTAGAGTTACATGTGACAGTTTTCTTTTGTTTGTTAGGTTAAGAGACTAGCTATTAAAAATGGTCTATTCACACTGTCACTACAGCCCATCACAAGTCCACTGCTGAACTGGCCGAGCTGACTAGATATAGAGTCCATAGATTGTCATAAAGTACGGTGTAGGTGGATGAAGGCACTCGTCTTCACTATCAGGTTGTCACTCCATATAGTGGGGGGTAACCCATCACTGCGCTGGCCAGTACAAGGCTGACACTCGAGAAACATTCTTCCCAACAGCTGTTGGTTCTTAGAGGTACATACATGGCCGGCCCATGGCCACTTCAGCTTACCTACTGATTCGCCGGCCTATGTCAGTTAATAAAAGTGGCCTATTATTATAAAGTAATCGGTAAGTTGATCGGAAACTTATTTTGTAGGAAGATAATATTTGCTTTTTAATACAAAAAGAAGTGAATTAATATGTAAAAATAAAAAAAGTGAAAAGGGTTCATTCAATATATGTACCAATACATCTTCCATTAAAAAAAGTAAATTGCTTTAAAAATGAGTAAAGTGTCAGTGAAGACAGAAATAAATTAAAATATATTTTAACAACATCAACGGCTCCGTGGCGTAGTGGCTTATCAATGAGTTGCAATGCTTGGGAATTCGGGTTCGAATCCCGCACGGAACAAGTATTTGTATGGCCTACAAATAATTGTTCCGGGTCTGGATGTTTGTCCTTGTACAATATATGTTTGTAAACTGCCTCCACGAATACAGGGGAAAATCCTAGTGTGGGGGTAAAGTTTTTAAAAAAAAAACTGATGCATTATATGCTTTTATTATGCTGTTGTGATCTTTTATATCTGTCCTTTAAATCTGTGTAATAAAAAGATTTTAGGCGTTGCTGAGGCCAGCATGACTTTCACTATCTTTAAGTATTAACTACTTACTAAGTACTAACTTCAGAACGACTTCACTTATGGAAATTTCACACAATACCTATATTTTTGTTTTACAATCTGAAAATTGAACAACATTGAAAATATTCAAGGTTTTTTACCGTTGTTGTTGTTTGTATCTTCAAAGAAGCTATACAAATCAGCGAAACCCAATTTAACTTTTGTACGTAGCTCATCCTAATTTTGTAAGTAAGTCACAGTATAAGCTAGCTCCCAAAAGAGCTATTCAAAAACCCCTGTTGTGCAAAAGCAAGGAAACGGGGCTGTATAATAATATGCAAAGTGGTCCATAAGATTAAACTGTTTTAAACGAACCATCCGTAGTTGCCGTCGGCTGCGATCCTGTCCCAGTCTTGCGGCCGACCGCGGGAATATATCATGTCATTAACTACACTGGTGCCACCTACAGCTTTACCTTGAGGTGAATAACAACGTTGCTCCTCGCTCCCTGTAATATCATAAAGTATATAATTATTCAAATATTCTTGTTTTATTTACGAATGTACGCAAAAAGCTGCTTCGGAACACAATAAAGGCTCTACTAAAATTATCGCACGCTTATTAATTGCAAATTGAAACGCAAAAGTAGAGAGTTATTTTTAAAGGAATGTACTTATGTGTTTTTCAACGAGAGTAAAACTGGTATTTTGCTCACAGTAAGAATTTACTACAGCAATAAAAATCCGCATAATCATAAAATACTTTTGGAACAGGACTTCGAAGATAAGTAATTGTTCACAATTTATAATTATCTTAAAAGAATGTGTAGATATTATATGACTTTTTCATGCATTTTTATGTATCTGATAAGGTTTATTTATAATAAGTATTGTCAAATTCTTGACCATTCCATATTATTTATTAAATATAAAGGTAAAAAATATTAAAATTAATATACTCCAGGTATTGTGAATTTTAAACTTTTTGTAAAAGTCACTACTTGAGATAACGAGCTTACCCAAGTTTATATCAAAGTGCAATTATTATCGCTCGCTGTTTTCCTTGAACAGGAAAATACATAATAAGCTAAGTTACCTAGCTAGAACAGAGAAAACAAACCGAATCCATCTCGTTTCATTTCTAGAATAGGGAAAACAAACTGCGTCCAGCTCGATCAATTTTTTGTTTATGAATCTTTTTTATTCAAGGTAATAAATATATTTCACGTAAGTGTTCATTAACTATGGTTAAGTTCATTTAATGGCCTATCTTCAAAGACTTTTTCTATTATCTATTATTATGACATGTGTGTGGTCTATGGTACTAAACCTTTTCGGAAACGGACTGGTTCGGAAGGCTGGAAGTCGTCGAGTCTGCGTGCAAGACGACTCGTAACTACACTTGAAAACACTACGTTGCACTCGATTTAGAAGAGAAACCGTTCTTTAGTTCTTTAATAGAGCGTTGTCCCCTTTCTTGAAGAACAAAATCACCGCACTTCTGCTTCACGCTGTCGGAGTAGTATGTGGGATGGAAACCAAGAACCTTCAGAAGGAAAAGTACCAGTTTTTCATTTGCTTATAGAGGCTGTTATTCCATTCTCGCATTCTTGTTCTTCTCTCGGGGTCTTGGCATTTTAAAGACTTTTTAAACTTCAAAAAGGAGGAGGTACTCAATTCGACTGTATTTTTTAATTTTTTTTATGTGTGTTGCCACCTAACTGTTTTCTAGGTGGAGCGGTTTTGATGATTCTTTAGCTCTTTTAGATAATTTTAAAAGCTCATAATAAACGATGCCATTCCAAAACCACCATACACACAGCATCACCTTATTGCGTGTTAATCCGGGTTTCACTACGGTCTGTGAATCTTGGCTACCCTTTAATCATGATCTTTTTCGCACGTTCTTGTCGTAGGTGATCCACTTCTCATCACCAGTAATCAATCTTTCAAAAATGGTTCGGTTTCATTACGTGTCAATAGAGAATCGCAAATGAGTACACGATTCATTAGGTTTCTTTCAGTGAGCTCGTGTGGTAACCAACTATCCAGCTTTTTCTATAGCCAGACTTTTTCAAATGGGTCAAATCTACTTTGTGGTCAATTCTCAATTTCTCGGCTATGTCGTAACTACTAAAATGCCAATCTAACTCCATTCTTTCAAAAATGGCATCGACTTTATCCGTATAAGGCGATCATAGCGAGCTGCATCTATGCTGCATCAAAACTCCTGGACTTTTTACTACTCTTACTAACAATAATGCATTGTTAATCATAAGAAGATCCATAAATGTCACCAATGTTTTCTCACAGGTTGAGTCGCATTTTTCCCTTTTTTTGCCGACTTCTAAAAGGAGGAGAATAAAATAAAAACATACTCAATTCGACTGTATGTTTTATTTTATTTTTATGTGTGTTACCTCATTACTTTTTTCTAGGTGAACTGATTTCGATGATTTTTTTTATTTGAAAGCTGACGCTTTACATGTAGTTTTTAAAAAAATTGATTAAGATCTGACTATTATTTTTTGAGTTATCCTTATAAATTTATATTGAGACCGGTCGTACAAAATTTTTAATTTTACCATTCGTTTTTAGTGTTTGTCAGAATTTTTTTCTAGGTGAACCGATTTTAATGATTCTTTTCTTATTTGAAAGCTGGTATTTCTCATGTGGTCCCATATAAATTCTTGATCACGATCTGACCAGTAGTTTTGAAGTTATCCTTAATAATGCGTATTTAATTGACTTCGACTACATTGATGACGATCTTATTTTATTAATATTGTTGTCGGTTGGTAAAAAAAATTAAATTTTACCACTTGTTTTTGTTTAAACTATGCATAGAATTAGCACCGTGGGAGCTCAGGAGCGAAGCACCCGCTGTAAATTTCACAAGCAATCCTGGTTCGATCCCCGCCGGCACCAATGAAATTGTTAATTATAATTTTAAGTTCTGATTTTTTTTTCTCGGCGGTGAATGAAAATATCGTGAGGAAATATGCATGTTTGAGAAATAAGAAAAACAATATTTCGAAGACATGTGAAGTTCGCCAACACGCATTGGGGCAGCGCGGCAGACATTTCTTTGCATTAAAACCCTCTCAGAAATGAGAGGAGGCCTGTGCCCAGCAGTGGGACGTATATAGGCTGCAACTTTAACTTTTAACGCATAGAATTATTATATGTAAGTATCATTAATTTTTAAGCATTTTTTTACAATGTATCTCTTAATTAAAACATCGCGTATTGGTGTCGAAAGAGACTACAAGAGGATAAAGGTCACGAGCAGCAGCATTTTTCTAAAGACATTAAAAAAAACACGATTGCCAACCCACCTGCCAAATGCGGCAACTATGGCAATTATTTCTCTTACGAGGCATTCTATGGGGGAAGCCTTTTTCAGTAGTGGTTTTTTGATAACCTGTAATGAATAAATGATTGATAATTAAATCACTCACCTAGGCAAACACCAGGTTGATGTTCCATGGTGTATGGCCAAACGTAGTCCGTTTGCTGTAAGTACGGAGTCAATGCTGGTATGTCTGAAAGAAGCATTTCTGGCTTTCCCGCTTCTAGCAGCAATACCGTTGCCCTAGGTTTATCTTCTGTTAACCGAGCAGCCAATACAGAGCCGGATGTACCAGCACCGACAATTATATAGTCGTACTCTTCTAGAGGTTTATCATAACCTATAAAATGGATCCTTACGTTATTACATAATAATATTTAAAAAAATGTACATGAATAAACTATGAATTAGAGCTATAATAGAGTATCACCAGTTTCGTCTTGGTTTCACTATAGTTGCAGACATTAAAATGAAAAAAAAAATAGCTGAAAATATTGTGTAAATCATTTGTTTTCTGTTTTTACTATTTGACTTGACCAGTGAAATTAGGGTACAAAAATATGTCAGTATATGTTACAGGCTCTATTTTATTTATTAATAGAGCGTCAAATGAGTTTAACAACAAATTAGCCTATGCACTCGTACATAATCTTCGAAATAGGCGTGAGACCTGAAAACACATTTTTTATAAAAAAAAAATTTTTTGTAAGGCATAATTTGGATACAGGCTCTAAGAGTCTTGTTATATGTACGGATACGTCAGCTCATAAAATCTTATTTCATATGTTTTTGTCCATTTGAAATTCATAGGTTTGTTATTATTTTTAAACTCTAAATTCTGTCCGCAGACCACTATGGTCTTCATAAGTTCCTGAGGTAAGTATTCATACCCTATACACACATTAAAGAGCATAGCCAATAACCTAGACAGATGAACTCCCGCGTACTGCAGGTGCTCAATACTGAGGTCATCATATCCAGGTGATTTACCACGTGTCATATTATTTATGACATTTGCAACTTCTTTTGCTGTAAATCTGGCAAATTCACTGCACGATTATATATGTAACTTTCAAATAAATTATTCGGTACGATACGCGCGTCACCTAATGTAAGTTAATTGTACTATACTACACTCAGCGTCACAAAAATCGCACCTCTCTGAGTTTGCGCGAAAAATGGATGTAATAGCTAGAAAAACTCTTTACCGATTCTGTCTGTCACTGATTTTGGCAATGTAGATACATTTTTACGTACGTACTTAATATTCTCATAAATCTACCGCTGTACATTTATGAGAATATTAAGTACGTACGTGTGATGTACGTACTTAATACGGATGTGTGGCTTCCCCGTGGCTGTTTAACTTATTTATGGACAGTTGTTTGCAAACTTTGAAAGTTGAAGAATGTGGGTTGAGAATGGGTGAGTCAACCGTCAAATGCCTTTTGTACTCCGATGATCAAGTCATATTTGCATCGTCGGCGGCCGAGTTGCAAATGATGGTTACTTTAATGAATTGGTCATTGAAAGAAAGGGGTATGAAAGTGAACGCAAGTAAGACGAAAGTGATGGTTTTTGAAAGAAGAAGAAAGTAAAACTTTATGTGAAATAAGAATAGAAGGGGAGTTGATTGAGCAAGTGGATGAGTTTGTATATTTGGGATGTTTATTTAGCAGGGATGGTAGATATGATAAGGATATAGAACGACGAGTGAACGCAGGAAATAGAGTGAATGGGGCTCTACACGCTATTATGAGGAGTCAGAATGTGTCAACTAAGGCACGTATGGCAATTCATAATGCTGTGTTAGTCCCTACTTTAATGTATGGTAGTGAAAGTTGGGTCTGGCAGAAGAAGCATGAGAGTAGAATAAATGCTGTAGAAATGCGTTCCTTAAGGAGTATGCTAGGGCTGAATCTGAATGACAGGGTGAGAAATAGTGTGATAAGAGAAAAGTGCGGTTTGCAAGATGACGTTGTGACAAGGATTAAAAAAGGAATGCTTCGGTGGTTTGGTCATGTAGAAAGAATGAACGAGGAAAGAGTGACAAAGCAAATTTATGTTGCGGAAGTGAACGGCAGGGTCGGGAAGGGACGCCCTAGACGAAGGTTTATCGACCAAATCGGCGATATATTAAAAATGGGCCAGATTAGGAGTACCCTTAACCGACGAGCGTGTATGCGTAGATATATGGATGTAAAAGAGGCGAGAGAGGTGTGTCAGGATCGCGCCAAATGGAAGTCCGTAGTCTCTGCCTACCCCTCTGGGTGACAGGCGTGAGTGTTTATGTATGTTATGTATGTACCGCTATTTCAAAGCCAGTATTTTAATAAAAATAATATTAAATGAATAACATGAATGCAAATAAAAATAAAAAGTATTGCAATCAGCCTGCTCATACAGTAGAATACTATAACATATTTTGAACTAAACTAGACCAAGGTAGATGTTGTAATGTTTATCAATCGACGAAATTTCTAAGCTGCATAAGCAGCAGAGATAAGAGTAAGATTCCTTTAAAACCTCATAGAAAGTTTTAGTACATGGTGATCCCCACTTATATGTGGGTGTAATTAACCCTAATTTAACACTTTTTATTGCTTTAAATTTTACATTTTTTTATTTAGCTCTAAATTCTTACTATAAAAATAGTCTCTAGTATCTTATCTAACACGCTGATTACTTCACAAAGGGTCTCCGTATTTTGTTGTGTTATTCCGATTAATAAAGCAGTATTAAGTGTAGAGTTATGCAGATACGTGCAAGATGCTGGATAAATATGTTTTATAAAACATTAGAGTAACTAACTAGTTAGTAGTCCTTCCACCTGGGCCCTATATAATACTCGTAAAAGTAACAATTTACAATTTTTAATGACTACTTTTTTCAATATAAACTAAAAGTTACAAAATTTTTAATTTATAGTAATTTTTCAATAAAAACTAAAAATTACGACTTAAATTTTGAAATATGAATTTTAAATTTTAAAGTTTTATTGTCATGATGGATCATTCATAAAATTGTAGAATAATTGTAGTAGGCATAATTATTTTTTTATATTTACGTGAATAGATTGAATGAGTGAACATTGAGTTACTTATTGTTTAAAAACGAAATACGTTTTATATACTTAAGTTACAAGTTACAAGTTTATTTTACTAATAATAAACAGTGCTACTTTTGCAATTTTTTATATTTATTAAATGGTATAAATATTTAGGAGCGTTATTTTTTAATTTTTGTAACATTGTCGGGTTGTAAAGTATATTAGATAGGGACACTAGCAAAAAACCTTAAAGAAAATAGGGTATAGATATAGACTGAGGGCTAAGGCGGAATATCTCATATTCTATTTATTGTTATTTAAATATCATCTTACAATAATATCCAGGTACTTTTTAGTAATACAACCATTGATAGATAAACAAATTGCAAGAAGATATGTGGTAAAATGGTGGTATATTTTTTATTTATTTATTACGAGATATAAAGAATAAATACAATGCAATTGTAAATAACATCGATATATGGGATAAATATGATATATCTTTGTTGAATACATCCATTAGGTCAGCGTTCAAATAACATTAATAGCGTTGCAGGCAAATAAAACAATCAACTTTTAATCCACGTGTTTTGAACATGATACATTTACGAATTATTGCTATTGTTATTAAATCTAAGTTTGAAGGTAAATTAGATCAGATTGCAATGCATTGTACATTATATGAGTATGGAATAGAATATAGTAGAATATTTCTATTCAATATAGATTATAACTTAATACTTATTGAAAGTCATTTATTTTTATTTACCACTGGTTAGGAAAATACCTCAGTCCTGGAAAGAACCAGCAAGAAACCCATTATATATATTTTAAACTTATATAACTTTACAATAATATTGGACAATTTTTATATGAATTTTAATTAAACCGGCATGGTGGCGATAACCTCATTCCCAGGGTTTATTTTAATTCATGTATTCTTATTATATATTAATAATTTGTGTATTTAATTTGTTATAATAACCCTTTTTGTAGATTTTTTTTAATAAAACTCTTAAACTTTGAACATTTTCTGGGATTTCATTGTAAAAGCGTATACATTTCCCGTAAATTAATAACTAATTCTATGGAGTCTAGTAACGTGTATTACAAGCTTATGTTTGTTCCAAGTGTTTAAAGTATGAATATCTTTATTCTTATCTATCAAAGCTAATCATGTTTTTATGTAACTACATACATAACATTTTCATAATTATATAGCGATGCCAAAGTTAATATGCTTATTTATTAAAAAAAAATCTTTGAGGTACTCTTTACAATTTAAGTTCTAAATCGTCCATACGGCCATCTTTTGCAATACAAATATGGCACTCTCTTTTAAATATTTTAGAATAATTTTGACATATTCTCTAAATCTACCGGAAAGATTTTATGATCTTTCACGCTAAAGTTCATATAACTTTGCTGTTATGAATTCCTACCATAGATTTAGTATAATCTGATACTATACTATATCTACGATTCCTGCTGTCGTCCACTCATTAAACGCGTTTCGACTATTACTGGACAATGTTCTAGAAGTATTTTTTTTAATAAAATCATTTTTTATGGATAAATAATACTCCATAGAAATATTCTGCATTGCTCTTGTAAGAAAGCGATGGAAGCTTTTTTACAATATTTTTTTATAGGAGAGGGGGCAAACGAGCATAAGGCTCACCTGATGGTAAGTGACTACCACCGCCCATGAACAACTACAACACCAGGGAATTGCAGGTGCATTGCGTGCCTATTAAAAATCAGTTAGCTCTTTTCTTGAAGGGTCCTAATTCAAAGCGGTCCGGAAAAATCGCCGGTGGTATATTATCCCAAAGAGAGGTCGTACGCGGAAGAAAACTCCTAGTGATATGTACAGTGGTGAACCGCCAAGCATTAAGATGTGGGTGGTATCGGGAGTTTTGCCGCGATGTGCGTTCGTGAAATTTGGCGGCTGGGATTAATCCCAACAATTCCTCAGAGCTCTTTCCGTTCTAAATGCGAAATAAAATGCAAAGGGATGCAACATCTCTCGGTCGTCAACGATTCGAACCACTCTGCGCTGAATGCGGTCAAGTGAAAGGAGCTGGCACTGGGGAGCCCCAGCCTAGAGATGGGAATAGTATTCCATGTGAGTCTGAACCTACGCCTTGTAAATTTGCAGGCGGTGTACCGACATGAAATACTACACCGTTCTGTGTTGAGCATGCCAAGCTTTTTAGAGGCCAATTTGGCCTTCTCTTCCAAGTGACCAAGAAACTGCACGTCACTCGATATGTTGACGCCGAGGATTCCGATACTGGCTGAGAAACGACAAACGGGTTCTTTATAGCGGTAAGCGCGCAAACTTGAACTCTAACTTCTAACACTCTGCATTAATTAGAACAAACACAATTTTCTCAATTTCCTGTGTTTGTGCATTTAAGCTGTGTCCTAACCAGTTGTCCAAATTGATCCGAACTTAGTTTTTGAATTAATGGTTTGTTAATTAGTTCATCACCTGTAAAAAATTATCAGTAAAATGAGAAATTAGAATATTCACTGGCTTACCTTTCGGCAATGGATAAGAATCTCGTAGAACATCAAAAGGATCATTAGACACCACTGGAGAATAATTGATCGCGAGAGTCTGCATCATCATATCAACAATCGGACTTTGTGGATACGACCAATGCAGGTACCTTTTCTTTCTAACCTTCACATCTTCTTTATTTTCTGTAACTTCGTCCTGCGTGCTCAAACTTTCAGCAGTTTCCGTCTTATTATCTAAAGGATAAGGCCATAGTATACGACTATTTCTTATTGTTTCTGTGTTGAGATTTGATATTTCGTTAATATTTTGATAATATAAATTATCTTCATTGGTTACAAATTCATCGTTTCCGATAATTGCACATTGCACGTAAAATATAACAGTAACCCCCAATGTGAGCCGTAAAATTTCGGTCATTATTCCTGAAACAATGGATTTTACAATATAAATTTATTGAAAGTGGTACAAAAGAGTATTTGCCTGACCGCTGAAGAAGTCGAGCAAATAATGTCGCACAACGTTTAAAAATAGTTTATCTTACTTTGTGTAGAGGTAACGCCTGAATTCAGCAAACATGCAATATTGCAGTATTTATCTTAGATACTCCGATCAACACTTACAAATCAGAGGATTTCTAAATGTCATCCTAAGCATTATAAGGGAACTTTATTTTAATGCATCAAGAAGAATAAATTATTAATGATTATACTAGATCGGATTAATAAGACGTTTGAAAATTTTGATGATCAAGTACAATGCGGTTGTACAAACTGATTATAGCAATACGTTTTTTTTATTATAAAAATCGTGCATTTTATAAAAAATAATTTTAAAATAAATGTATTTCATTTGTTTTAAAATATTTGTGCTTTATCGAATATGTTTATAATTTTATTAAATATTAACATTAAAATAATAATTGAAGTCAAGGACAGTGGTGTAAAAATTAGTTTTGTATGGTATTGTGTCGAAAAAAAAATCGTTAATATTATTACTAATAATATTATATATATAAATAAAAGTCATTCTACGCTTCCTTTAATTTTAACACAGTATGTCCCGATGTTTCAAGCGCTTAAGAGCACTTATCACGGGAGACATGGAAAAGTTGTCAATTAAATATAAGTTAAAATTAAACGCGACAAAATCTGCAAAATTAGTTTTATTAATGCGTGAAACTAAAAACCAAACTGCTTATTCATATTTCATTACGTTCTTCTTTTATTTCCTGTCATTTTCTTTTTCAGGTGGTTATCTGTATGATTTCAGATATACCTGAACCAACTTAACAAAAAGCGAATACTAAGTCAATAAGTATAACCACTTCTGGAGGACCTATAACGCTTATAACCTACAATTCCTTATTGCGGTTTCTTTTGGAAACCATTATGTCATGTAAACATACCTTAATACGGGTCTCAAAAAGATCTACTCACCTACTTTGGATATATGAGTGTTAAGGTATACCTTAACACTCATTCCTTTTCATTGAACGAAAAATAGTGAAGTTAGTTTATTACCTTATTTTTTAATATATTCGTCAATATTTTAGAAAGAACGTTTCGAAATTTTAATATTTTTGAAATATTCAAAGCAAAAGAAAATGAAACACAAGTTAAAACACGAACTTCAGAATTTAAAAATAAACGTATTTTAATATTTTTTGTAAATAAAATATTAAATTTGTTTAAAATATATATTACTTACCGAACTATTCAAATTATAAAATAAAGTAATGATTAAATTTATGTTTTAAAAGTCGTATTTCCGAACGTCCCGTTCTACCAGCCAGCGAACAGCGAATGGTTGTTCTGCGATCAATCGAGCATCTATACAAGCCTTGACCGTGCACTTGTATTTACCGCTATCTCACCGTAATGCCTCACAAAGAGGACTTCGATAATAACTAAGTTTTATTATATGTGAAGGTGTAGCGCGAGAAGTCGAGGTATATAGGTCGTCTTATTTGAATTTATAATCACCTTATGAGCTTAGAGAGAGAGAGAGAGAGAGAGTGAAATTGGTAAGATGTTTGGAATTCAAACATAAAATATAAAATCATAGTTTTATTGCCAAAATAAAAGACAAATTCAATATGTATGTTATGAATTGCGTATATCGCCGTCAGTCTGCAATTTCTTTTTTGCTACAGTAGAGTAGACCTCATCCAAGCTTACAAGTACGAGAGTGAAAAAAGCAAAATATTGCGTAAAAGGAGGATTGGTACTTTTATTTATTACTATTAATATTTACCATAATTTCTTTGCTAAAACAATTTCTTGTACAGTAAACAAACGTGTACTTAAAATTGAAAAAGTAAGAAAAACTAAGTAAGATGACTTGATGATATTATTATTAATTTTTATATTTCTAAACGTACGTTTTATACATATTTACGTATTCATAGTCTCAATTCTGTACGGAGTTATTAAAATTAGTAAATATTTGTATTCGTTACTATTAAATGGAATAACATATAAAGATACACGTAAGTACGTAACATATAAAGATCCTTTCTGCTAAAAACGGCAATATTCCATTTTAATTAAGATTATAGATGGAGACGTCGATCTACCACAGCATCCACTTACCACTAAGTGGACTGTGTGCTCGTGTGTTACTCTTATTTCTAATAAAAAAGCTTAATATATAAATCCGAACATAGGGTTAAGTGGCGCTTTTTGGTCAATGCTAATCATAATATAAAAATGACAGTCAGCATATTTACTGCAGTAGATTGATGATTTGGTATCATATCGGCACTGTTGGCTACGCATGCGATGTGAAACCAAGATCCAAAATGCAGATATTCTAACCTTTATGCACTGTCATAAACCTAGAGAATTTTTGCGGTTTCGAAGAAAAAGGATGAAATGCTAAAAGATATTTGTGTAAGCCTTTAGACCCACCATGACTCAGTACTAATCAGTCAATCTCTGAATTCATTACAACAACGTTTTAATTATAATTCGATATGGTCAAGATTAAAAAAGAAAACGGAAACACCGAATCACACCACTGTCACAGACAATATGGGCTATACCAGAGTTCAAGCTGCTTCAACAAGACAATGCGCCCGCGTTTAGGGCTCAAAACGGTTGAGCTTTTGGATCACCTCTTTTGCAGCCCTAATTTGATAACAAGTGACTTTTTTTATATGCAAAAAATAATTAAAATTCTCCTGACGATTAGTGGCTACTTCAGCTCATGGACAGATGCAAGCCCACAACCGACTGCAAACAACAAAGAAGGCTAAGAAAGTTTTGCCTACACTTATTTGATTAACAAACTTTTAAGGTCGCATATAAAAATAAAAAATTTAGAATATAGAACTTCGAATTGGAATGTCATAAATCATAAGTCATCATCATCATCATCATTACAGCCTTTCATAAGTTCACTACAGAACATAGGCCTCCCCCAAGGAATGCCACAAAGCACGGTCCTGAGCCACCTGCATCCATCGACTTCCTGCATGTCTTACCAGGTCGTCACTCCATCTAGTGGGGGGCCCTACACTTCGCCTACCAGTATGAGGCTGCCACTCGAGAACCCTTATTGCCCCTCGGTTGTCGGTTCTTCGAGCTATATGGCCGGCCCACTGCCACTTCAGCTTACTAATCCGTTGGGCTATTTCGGTTACTCTGGTTCTACTGCGGATATCCTCATTTCTAAATTTATCACGCAGAGTAACCCCGAGCATAGCCCTCTCCATAGCTCGCTGGGCGACCTTGATCTTCCTCATACGGCCAACAGTGAAGGATCACGTCTCAGATCCATAAGTCATCTTTTATCATATAAAAATATAAATAGGCAGAAAATCCTCAAAAAGAAAGGATCATTGGAAATTATAATGACTATTTTTTGTGGTTTCTCTTTCGTATTAATAATATTTCGTAATATTATTAATACGAGATTATAATGCTAAGTAACAAACTATTTCTGGCTTTTTTATTGGATAAGGTTAGCTTTTAAATAACTATAGTTAAAAGGATTGTTTAGTTCGCTATTCTTCACTGGATGTCTTTTCAGTCCCATTTTACAATTTTAAAAGGGACTTGTAACCAATAGCGATACTCTTATTCCGCCTCACAACACAGGAGAAAAACCGGGAAACACTGCATTCTACACTGCATTCAAAATATCATCATCAACATCATTACAGTCTTTGATAGCAACCAGCGAAGATACATCTTAAAGCATGGTCCTAAGCCGGTGATCCTGTATCTATTACCAGGTCATCACTACATGTCCACACTTGCTCTGGCTGGGCGGCCACCCGTTAGATGGCTGCCACTCAAGAACCTTTCTTCCCTAACGACTGTCGTTTCTTTTAGCAGTATGGCTGGTCTACTGTCATTTCCGTTTACTGATCCGTTGGACTCCTCCCTGTGGATATTCTCATTATGAAGTATATCACGTAGAGATACTCCAAGCCTCATTATATACGTGGCAAGCGTTCGTGTTGTTATCTCTTGAAATGCCCAGGCGAGGTTGATCCGTCGCTAGACCTTTCGGTCAAAGTTGGACATACCGAGTTAGACAATTTGTTCCAGGTAAACATAATCGTCAACAACTTCGAGCGTAATGATCCCAACAATTACCGGCATAGGTATGACATGGATGTAACATATGACCTTTGTCTCGTTCATGTTCATCTTAAGACCCAAGTGGAGATACTGTTGACGTCATTGTATTGAGGTCCTCGAGCGATTCTATCATAATTACTATATCGTTGACAATCAAAAGTGAGAGATGTATGCACCAGTGATGTTAATACCGTATCCATTCCAGTCCAGTAGATTGAAACTGAAAAGATTGAACTGTGGCGGTGGATAGTTTAGGGGCTATAATCTCATCCTGTCTTATATCTCTATACATCCTCTTATACATACATAAACACTACTAAATCATACTTAATTAACAAAAATACAAACGTTTCAATTTAGGAGCTTTGCTGATGAGCATTTGAATTTAAGAACCACCGTCACTTTTATAAACTTATACTACAGATTTCAGGATTATCTCTGCACAATTGGCTGATTTCCAAATAACTAGAGACAGTCTCTGTGTTGGAAATAACATAAAAATGGCTTCTCGATCCAAACGGATACCAGAAACACACCCGCAATTACTCTCATACAAAAGCTTACGGTTTACTTCAATAACATATAAAAAGCACTAAAACAAATATCATACCTGATATTTGATATCTAAAGAAAACCTCCGGTTATATTAATAAGTCCTTTAATCTCACATTCTGTAACTATGGGAGTATGACTGGAGAAAATATAACTTTTATTGAAATATAAAGTCCAGCATAGTCAACTTACCCTTTAATTTAGGATAGCAAAACCTTCTTTTAATGTTGTTATTATAATGTTAATAAAAAAGGTTAGCCTTATGAAAATAAAAAA